AAGTTGCAATATGAAAAGATTCTATGGGCAATATATAACAGTCAAATGCATTAGGCACACTATGCCACCAAAGCTCCCATTGAATGATGCAGGAAACATCAAAAGAAGATGGAAATACTAGATGCAACGATGGGTCTCTCCTCATCCAGAGCAAAGAAGAATGAAGAAAACCAAAAATTCATGGAAAAAATTAGTCCTAGCGATTGATATACCACACAATCTGCAGCCTATATGACTATGAGACCAGAAGAACTAGATGGTGCCCAGCTACCACTTGTCAACCACTTGGAGAGGGAATCTATGTAGGAGATCCTGGATAGAGAGGGAGAACAATGTGGAAGAAAATTCAAAATCATTTGGAAAAGAGGACCAGGTTTGCTGGTCTGATAGAGCCTGGTGGAACCCCTGAGACTATGGGCCCTAGCTTCCCTTCAGGTCTGGAACTGAACCCACTCCTGTGGCTTCCAGGCAAACAAAAGACAGCCATATGAGCTGAACATTTATTTACATTAGGTAGGTACACTCCTTGGTAAGATCAATCATGGGAGAATAGAAGGGCTGTGTATGCACAAGAAGACAGTTTGGGAGGTAGGAGTGCATGAGAGGGAAGGATACAGGGAAGAGGTAACTAAGGGGAGGAAGGGGTAAGAGAGCTTTGGCATTGTGGGAAATTACAGTCAATGTCATGAGACAGTGTATATGAACTGCTGTATGGAAAATGAATTTACTCTATAAACTTTCACCCAAATCACAATAAAAATATATATTTTTAAAAAAGCATTTGATTGTGTGGATCATAAAAAATTATGGATAACATTGAGAAGAATGGGAATTCCAGAACACTTGATTGTACTTATCGAGAACCTGTACATTGACCAGGAGGCTGTCATTCGAACAGAACAAGGGGACACTGCATGCTTTAAAATCAGGAAGGGAGTGTGTCAGGCTTGTATTCTTTCACCATACTTATTCAAACTGTATGCTGAGCAAATAATCTGAGAATCTGGACAATATGAAGACGAACATGGCACCAGAATTGGAGGAAGGCTGATTAACAACCTGCGATATGCAGATGATACAACTCTGCTTACTTAAAGTGAGGATGACTTGAAGCACTTACTGATGAAAACTGAACATTACAGTCTGCAGTATGGATTGCACCTCAATATATAAAAAAAATATTTTCACACCTGGACCAATAAGCAGCATCACAATAAATGGAGAAAAGATTGAAGTTTTCAAAGACTTCATATTACTTGGTTCTACAATCAACACCCATGGAAGCAGCAGTCAAGACATCAGATGACGTACTGCATTGGGCAAATCTGCTGCAAAAGACCTCTTTCAAGTGCTGAAGAGCAAAGATATCTCCTTGAAGATTAAGGTGCGCCTAACCCAAGGGATGGTATTTTCAATCGCCTCATATAAGTGTAGGAGCTCTGGTAGCATAGTGTCTAAGGCACTTGACTGCTAACCAGAAGGCTGGCGGTTCAAACCCACCAGCCACTCCACAGAAGGAAGATGGGGCAATCTACTTCCATAGAGATGCTGCCTTGGAAACCCAAGGAGGGGTGGCTATGAGTCGTGTCCGACTTGATGGCACATAACAGCAACAACAACAACATATGCGTGTGAGAGCTGGACAAAGAATAAGGAGGACTAAAGAAAAGTTGATGCTTTTGAATTGTAGTGTTGGCGAAGAATACTGAAAGTACCACGGACTGCTAAAAGAATTGACAAATCTGGCCTGGAAGAAGTACGGCTGGAAGTAGCTCCTTGGAAGCTAGAATGGCCAGACTTTGTCTCAGCTACTTTGGTCATGTTGTCAGAAGGGACCATTCCCTAGAGAAAGATATCATGCTTGGTAAGGTGGAGGGTCAATGAAAAAGAGAAGGCTCTCAACAAGGTGGATTGACACAGTGGCTGAAACAATGGGCTCAGGAATAGCTAGGATCATGAAGCTGGCACAGGAACCAGCAGTGTGTCATTCTGTTGTATATAGAGTTGCTATGAGTTAGAAAGGACTCGATGGAGCTTAACAACAGTAACTACTACTACTACTACATAACATTTACACTTGCTCTGAAGCATCTTACACACACACACACACACACACACACATCTAAACTCACTGCCACTGAATTGATTCCAACTCATAGCAACCCCTACTAGGTTTCCAAGGCTATAAATCTTTATGGAAGCAGACTGCCTCATCTTTCTTCCACAGAGTGGCTAGTGGGTTTGAACCACTAACCTTTTGGTTAGCAGCCAAGTGCCTTAACTACTGCATCACCAGAGCTGCTTCATAGCCATGTTATTGGGAGTAAAGTGATATCTCATTACGGTTTTGACAGCCACTCCTTGGAAGGAAGATTGGGCATTCTAGTTCTGTAGTGATATCACGGAAACCCAAGGAGGGATCGCTATGAGTTGGATCTGACTCAACGGCAGTGAATTTGGCTTTTTTTTTGAAACAGCCAGTGATGTTGAGCATCTTTTCATATGCTTATTGGCCATTTGTATTTTTACTTTAGTGAAAAGTTATTCAAGTACGTTAGCCATTTTTTGATTGGGTTATTTTTTTGTTATTGAGTTGTAGAACATATATATATATTTGATATTCAGAATGGGTTTGGTATGTAAATATATTCTGACTATCAAACCCTTATCAGATATATAGTTCCCCAATTTTTTCTCCTAGTCTATAGGTTGTCCCTTCACTTTGTAGATAATGTCCTTTGACAAACAAAAAAAATTTTTATTTTAATTAGGTCTCATTTATCTATTTTGTCTTTTGTTGGTTGCATTACATTTTGTTGCTCAGTATCATATCTAAGAATCCATTTGTTATTGATTACATTATGTCTCAAAAAAATATGTGTTTTAAATCCTAACCTCTATGATTGTGACTATAATTCTATTTGGGAATGGGATGTCTTTGTTATGTTAATAATGCAGAATTAGTATAGGGTATATCTTGAGTCAATCTCTTTGGAAATATTAAAAGAGCTTAAACAAGCAAGTGAGAGAAGCATAGATGGGGTAAAATAGATGTCAAGACACATGGAGATCTCCAAGGAAGCAGAAACCAAGCTGAAGAGACAAGGAACTTCCCCCGGAACCAACAGAGAGAAAACCTTCCTCTAGAGCTGGAGCCTTGAACTTGGCCTTCTAGCCTCTACAATTGTGAGAAAATAAATTTCCATTTATTAAAGCCATCCACTCATGATATTTCTGTTATAGCAGCACTAAATAACTCAGACACCATTGTTGGAAGCTGGGTCCTAAAGCATTACCCCTATGCTTTCTTCTAAGAGTTTTATAGTTATTAGATCTTTCATTTAGGTCTTTGAACCATTGAATTGGTTTTTGTATATGGTGTAAGGTATTAGTCCAAATTCATTCCTTACCATGTGGAAATCCAGTAGTCACAGCACCATTTATTAAAAAGATTATTTTCCCCCATTTGACGCTTTTAGCACCCTTGATGAAGATCATTTGACTATAGATATGTAGGTTTATTTCTGGATTCTCAGTTCTATTCCATCGCTCTATATGTCTATTGATATATCAGGCTGTTTTGATTATCGTAATTTTATAATATGTTCGGAGATAGGGAAGTGTGAGTCTTCCAACTTTGTTCTTCTTTTTCAAGATTGCTTTGGCTATTTTGGGTCCCTTGAAGTTCCACATAAATTTGAGGATTGACTTTTCCTTGTCCTAGTAGCTTTTTTTTTTTTTTTTTTTTTAATTTTCTACATAAACAACAATGTCATCTGTAAAGATTTTAAAATACCTGAAATTGTGACTGCTTTAATATCTCAATAGAACTGGGGAGGTGAGGGTCTTCTAAGGGGTGGGTAAAGGAAAATCTTTATAGTATGTTTTAAGAGTGTGATGGAAAGAAAAATTAAAGCTATTCATGATAACACCCTACTAACCCAAACCAGACCAAACCTATTGCTGTCTAGCCAATTCTGACTCCTAGTGACCCCATGGGACACAGTAGAACTGCCCCATAAAGTTTCCAAGGCTGTGAAGCAAATTGCCACATCTTTCTCCTGTGGAGCAGATGGTAGGTTCAAACTGCTGACCTTTCAATCAGCAGCCAAGCATTAACCACTGTGCCACCAGGGCTCCTTAACATCAAGTTTAGCCAATTCAACAAAGAGGTCGTACAGTGTATTGCTCTGTGATGTGATTCCACAGACTTGTCTTGAAGAAGGCTATAAGAAACAGCACTATGCAAATCACCTCTCTGTAAGGTCCTTGAGGAAATATCTCTATAAGCTTAGTGTCAGGAGTAGTTCTTCTCTGAACCAAATGGTGTCTTTTTATCCATTGTTACACCAAGTGAGGTCAGGGTACATTGAGAAAGGTTTAACCCATAGGGAATATTTTATCATTGACATTGCTTAGAATCACTGACACATAGTGGTAATAAAAAGACCAACTTTTAGTCTGTTGTATTTTAGTTTATTAATTTTCTACCGAAACTATACCTCCTTATTACCTAAACCTTGAACTGGACTGCTCCCTCTACCTATCCCCACTTTGTACTTTGTTTTTATCCTAATGACACTGTGAATCATGTTGCACGGAACAAGCTTCCATCTGTGTTTTAGCTGCTAGGAAGCTTGGAGTCAAACGTTTTTGCCTCTTCTGTACACCAGTCATGTTGTATACTAGGCCTCAGTCCCGGTTTCAGCTTAGACCATTTCTTTTTCACTTCTATCTCTTTCTTAGGCAACTTTCAATTATCTTTATGCACTTATCTATGTAGTCCCTTTAGATTATCTTTGCAGCAAGAAATAGAAGCAACATAATAAATGGGAAGAATGGCTTCAAATGCGCCTACCGGATTATCCATGTGTGTATTACACATGTAGTTCATTCTAGACACGAAACTTAAATTTGCACACAGCAAAGGGTAGTAAATGACCCCTAGATGCTATTTGAGGAGATTTCCTTAATAAACAGCACCATGTGGCATAACTCACCTACCCCAGTAGTGTGATCTCCCTTTGGTCCTGTATAGGAGGTGGGAGTTTCTCCCCTTCTCCTGTGCCAGCTGCTCCGGTTTCTTCTCTCCTGAGTAAACATACATTCATCTTCTTCAAAAGTGCACTCTCCAGGTGGAGGTGGAATCCTCTCTGTAAGAAAACAGCAAGTGTTGCAGTTGTTGATGCACTTTCAATGAATATGGACTCCCTGGCTCATTGGTAGCTTGCTCGCTCTGCATGTATGAGTGTGGCCTGGCCATATGCTATGCCTATGGAGAGGCAACCCCCAACGGCAGACAGCCTCCCTACACTGAGCTCTTGGTCCTGCCATAGGGGCAGAGAACAAACATAAATCCAGATCCAAAAACATTGGCATACTTTGTCTGAAAAAGAAACTCTCTCTGGCTTATGAATTTATTTGTGTACCAAGCTAACAAAGCTCTGAAAATTGGAGGCACATTGCCTTTATGAAAATATGGAAAGGAATAAAGGTACACAAAGCAGGAATTTTCTTTAGAAATTCAGGATGAGTGAAGGGAATCCTCAAAACAATTGTATGGTTGCTTTGGAGGAAGGGGGAAATGCTTCTGGAGGCACAACTGTGTGAAGCAAATTACTAAATTTCTCTGTGCTTCGGTATTTTTGTTTTTCAATTTTTTTTTCTGTCATCGTGGAGAATATATACAGCAAAACATACACCAATTCAACAGTCTGTACGTGTACAGGTTAGTGACACTGATTATATTTTGTGAGTTGTGCAACCATTCTCTTTTCTGAGTTGTTCTCCCATCATTAACATAAACTCACTAAGGTTCTCATCTAATCTTTCACACTGCTGTTGTCAATTTGTTGTGCCTCAGTATTCTTATGTGCAATGTGGGAATATTAATAGTAGTCACCTCATGTGGTTGGGAAGATTAAATGAGATTAATGTACATAAAGTAGTTAGCACTTGATGCTCCCAAAAAGTAATAGCCAAATAACTATCAGGACTTGGTGTTTCACCACTGGGAGTCTTACTTTCCATCTCCAATGACAAAGATTTATGTTTTTGGATGCTATCTTTGATAACCTTAATAATTATTATTACTAGAATGGGGCCAACATCCCAATGTATTGGGGACTTCTTTTGCCAAACTTGATTGTATCTCCCTACATTCAGATTCTTAGTAAATTTCTCTAATAAATCATGTATTTTATACCTCTTGCATGCTTATCATTTTGCTTCATCTTATTTTACATATGGTGCAAGTTAATGAAGACTCACTCCCTCTTCTGTGCCTCAGGTATAGAGATTTTCATCATGTCCATCTTTATATTGTCCTTGCATTGTCTAGAAGAGCAAAGGACTAAAAATATATGATCTTTTAATGAAATAAGGAGCTCTGGTGATCAGAGCAGTTCAAATCCACCAACTGCTTTGTGGAAGGGAGATGAGGCAATCTACTTCTATAAAGATTTATAGGGAGCTCTGGTAGCATAGTACCTAAGGTACTTGACTGCTAACCAGAAGGCTGGCGGTTCAAGCCCACCAGCCACTCCTCAGAAGGAAGGTTGGGCAATCTACTTCCATAGTGATACTGCCTCGGATACCCAAGGAGGGGTCACTATGAGTAGGGTCTGACTCAACGGTACATAACAACAACATGGAGCTAGTATGAATTGGAATCAACTGATGGCAGTAGGTTGGTTTGTTTGTTTTAATGAAATAAAACAAAACAACAACAGCAAAAAACCCCACTGCCACCGAGTTGACTCCTATTAATAGTAACCCTATAGGACAGAACAGAACTATTCCATAAAGTTTCCTAAGGCTGTACATTTTGTGTGTGTGTGTGTGTGGTGTAGTAAATTACATAGTGTGGCTTTGCTACCCATAAGTCTTTGTAAACTCCAAGGTGGAATTTTCTATGAGCAACTGAGGAGCTCCTCACTGCTGAAGTTGTCCACCTGGGTTATTTCTGTTGGGCATGGCACAATACAATGTTCTGGGAGGTTCCCACTCTCTCTCAGATGCTTGGAGTTCTGATGCTGTGATTGGCTAGTTTGACCACCCTGCCAGGCTGAAAAGGAGGCCTCCTGGAGGCAGAACTCTCTCTGACTGCTGGTTGAGGAAGACGTGCTGCTGAAAGAGACACAGGCTCCTGAGACACGTGTTGCTGGGAAAGAGATGCAAGAGACACGCGTTGCTGAGTGAGACACCGAGGGACCAGCACTGCTGGGAAAGAGACTATGAGAGACTGTTGGCTGAGGGATGGTGGGCTGGGAGAGAGACTGAGCATTTTTTTCCTGAACTTGAATTGTAGCCTTTGGTGCTTCCCTAATAAACCCCATAATCTGTGAGTTCTGTGTGGCCACTGCAGCGAATTATCGAACCCAGGAGAGAGGTGGTGGGTGCTTTGGGAGGAATGGTTGGAGAAAGGGCGGGAGGGAGGCAGCACGTCTGGCCTGGCAGGAATAGGCCTTGGGTTACTGCTGGTAATCCTGTCTTCCTCTTGTGGGGTTAGAGGAGGTCAGAACATGTGGCCTCCTTACCCTTTTTGCAATTTTTTACATTTAATTTAATTTATTGTGCTTTGGATGCAAATTTACAAAGCAATTTTTTTTTACATTCAACAATTGATGCACATTTGATTTCATAGCCCTGATTACAATTCCCAATCATAAAAAATTCTCTTCCCCTCCTCTCCACGTGACTACCCACTCCCTATGCCCTTCTTAACTATGCATTCCTGTCTGTCCAGAATTCCCTCTATGTGAATGCTGTCCCTCTAGTGTCTCATGTCCAATTGATTTAAGGGGTACATCTCCCTAGAATAGGTGGGTGCATCACCCTGGGGTAGGTGTTCTGCATGTAGGTCTTTCTACTGTTGGGCTGAGAGGCAATCCATAGAAGTGAGTCCATTTCTAGGCCCAAAGGGTAACCCAGGGCCATAGTCTCAGGGGTTCCACCAGTCTCTATCCAACCAGTAATTCTGGTCCTTTTTGTATTTTTGAATTTTGTTCCACATTTTTCCTCCCACTTTATCAAGAATCTCTAGTTTTGATCCCTTTCCAAGTGGTTGGCATTGGTAGCCAGGTGCCATCTAGTTCTTCTGGTCTCTGGGTCATGAAGGCTGAGATCCTAGTGGTCTATCTTATCCTTGGACTAACTGTTTCCAGATGCCTTTGGTTTTCTTCACTCTTCTTTGCTTCAGATGAGAGGAGACCAATATTTGCATCTTAGATGGCCACTTGAAAGCTTTTAAGACCCCAGTCATAAGGTTGTAAATCTTTACAGAAGCAGACTGCCACATCTTTTTCCTGTGGAGCGCCTGGTGGGTTTAAATCTCAGATTTTTGGTTAGCAGCCAAGTGCTTTACCCACTACACCATCAGAGTTCCTTTTTAATGAAATAAACATGGAGATTATTCTCCAGTCCAGACTGATATCACATATTACCTGTTTGTTAAAGAAATGGATAGATACCCCATGATTTAGGATCAATGGTAATAGTAGATACAGACCAATGATCTTGGTTATGTAACATTTTCTCATGAGACATAACATCCAATACATAGCCAGCTATCACTATCTTTATTTTGTCAGTATCATAAATACTTGGTCCATTGTTCTATTCTCATGTAATTCACATAGAAAATTTTTATCTTATAATTTATGTTTTACACAGAATCTATGAAATCAGATTGCATCAATATTATTTGAAATTCTACGTTCATGTAGGACAACAACTACAATAGTAACACTAGTAATCATAATAGAAGGTATTTGCTTTTAAAGGAGTTTTGTGCCAGGCTCTATGTTAGGTAATTTACATATATTGCCTCCTATATTCAGGTAGGTATTGCTATCTCAATTACAGATGAAGATAGAGAGACGGTCACATTCAAAGTAACACACTGCATTAGAGTCATCATTTCTAAACTCTACAGCTCTACAGAGATGCACTTCTGGCAAGAAAAGCAAAAGATGGGTCAGCACAGATTAAATGTATGGTGTATTCTTAACAAAGAAGAAACAGGAAGTATCATGTTAGGTAGGGAGGCAAAGAGAGTTGGGATGACTATGTCATACCTGGAGACCAGCAGCTTCCCAGTTGTACTGTAATGTCATCGAGGGCTACAAGCCCACAGTCCCAAAAACTTTTGCATAAGCTCATGAAAACTACCTGCAATACATGAAAATAAAACTGTGAATTTTATTAACTGAAAATTGGAAATTCTTATAACCTGGAGTTCACTTAGCAAAACAAATATGCATAAACATACTGCAAACACCTTTTCATTGTCCATATAGATAACAGTGGCATGAATAATGGATACCATTTATATATGGTCCTGAAAAGATGTACATTAATTTTTTAAATGGATTCAACCTCATAAGGATATGTTGTATATACTCATGCTGAAATTAGTTTTCATTCTTTAAATAATTGACAATAAGAGTAAGGAAAATAAGAAGTTAACTGGGTGACAGAGAAAGCCCGTCAGGTTTTAAATATTTCCTCCAGATAATCCACAGAGTGCATAAAGATGGTCCAGCATTTTTGCAAAACATCTCCAGTACAAACACTATTGATTTTTTGAAAATGACTTTCTGGCAAAGTGCTTCATTCGTATTGTGAACAAAGTCCCAGTGATCTGTTATCTGCAGACTCATGTTCCATTTCCAAAGACAAAGATCTATGTTCCTGGATGGTATCACTAATAAAATTCCTCAACGCAGTTATTTTTATCAGGTCAAAGATTTTTATTATTATATGTGAAGGAAAAACACATCCATGCTACAAATTATTAAATTCATTGCACCAGAGAAAGAGAAAAGTCTTGGATTTCTTTCCTTTAGGCCAATTTTAAAGGCTACTTTTCATATATAGGATGAGGAGAGAGCATTTGTCAAAAGATTAATATTAGATTTTCACTGTACTTTGTGGTTTACAAAGCTGCTTCCTATATATAACCTGGTGTTTAATTAGCACAAGGTCACACAGTGCATGTTCAATCTCAAACAGAAGTCTCAAATCATACAAAGACAAAGGAAGATACAACAAAAGCTAAACCCAAAATATAAATAATGAGAATGTTTGATTTTTTAGATTCCAAGATTCAGAATTCATTTTCTTGAATTTATCTGTGCTACCAGCAGAGTCTCTGTTCTTTGATGATTCCAAAAAACCAAACTCACTGCCATAGAGTCAATTCTGACTCATAGTGACCCCTCCTTGGGTTTCCAAGACAGTATCACTCCAAAAGTAGATTGCCCAACCTTCCTTCTGAGGAGCGGCTGGTTAGCTTTCTGGTTAGCAGTCTTAGTTAGTTAGCCTTAGACACTATGCCACCAGAGCTCTCTCTTTGATAATTAGATCCATCAAAATGTAGAGTTTATTATAATTTTTCATTTCAAATCACATGATGGCTCACCAGTATGCCAAAACCCCAAATCCACTGCTGTCCAGTCGATTCTGACCCATAGGGATCCTATAGTACAGAGCTACCCCACAAGCTTTCTAAAGCTGTAATCTTTACAGAAGTGACTACCACATCTTTCCCCTGCAGAGTAGCTGGTGGATTTGAACCACAGACCTTTCTGGTTAGCAGCCAAGCACTTTAACCACTGAACCACCAGGGCTCCTTTACCAGTATGCAAAACATTAAATTTCTTAAGCCACAATCTTCAAAACAACTACTAATTGTAAGAGGTTGAAAGTTTGCTTGGACTATATTCATACTGCATTAAATTATAAAAAGAATAGTTTGGAAATACAACAATATGTAATGTATATATTTATAAAAAAAACAAAAGAAAATGGGGTGCTTTTCTTTTTAGTTTGGTTTTGTTTTCTTTTTTACTTCTTGTGATTTGGGTTTATGGAGCAAATCAGTTTTCCATTCAACATTTCATACACCTTTTGTTTCATGCTATTTGATTACAATCTCCACAATGTTAACATCATTGGATTTTTTTAACCTCTTTTAATTCTCTCACTTTTATAGATTTTAGAATATTATCTGAATATGTAAATTATTTTTCTTGCAGGATTTATGCCTGGGAACTTATCCCCCATTTACAAAGCAAAAGTCTGTGTCATTAGCCTTGTATTTGGTTGCATTTTATCGGCGATTTTTTTCATTGTTGTTACATGGGTAGGAATATTAACCTGTCTCATCACTTATTGAATTAATTGTGCTATAGAGAGAAAAGTCTTGGACTTCATTCCTTTAGGCAGCTCTAAAGTCTTTTTTTCACACATATAATGAAAAAATACTTTTTCAAAATGAATACGTGAGGAAGTGTAACATGATTAATTATGCAAATCATTATCTTGATAAGATTCATATTTGGCATGATCTATTCTATAGAGAAATATTAACATGCTTTTATATGTTTACTATAGCATTATTTTATGATCATAAAACCAAATAAGCAAGCAAGCAGGCAATGGACACCTAAAATTTCAACAAAATGTTTAAATAAATTATGATACAACTAAGAGATAGGTCACCATTAGATTTGATAGCTTTATGAATATCATTCAGAGAACAGAAAAATATTCCTCTCATAATATTACATGAAAAAGATAGTTATAAAAAAAGCTGTGTATCACTCATCTAAAGAATAATAGAAAAAAACCTAGAGAAATTTACCAAATTCTAACAATTATACTAGACTCATGGAATTATTGGCAGTAAGCATAATTCCCCCCTATTTCTAAACATTCTAATTTTGTTATATTTATAGTTGAAAATAAAAGGAAAAAGATCAGACTATCTATAATTAAGACCTGGAATAACGAGTTAGTGTTTCCCAGATTGGCACAGTCTAATATCTAGGGTCATCATAAATCAGAATTGACTTGAAGGCAGTGGGTTTGGGTTTGGATAAGCTACATATGACTATCTGAATTAAAATCTACTAAAATTAAACCTCATTTTTTTCAATCACATAGCCACATTTCAAGTGCTCAAAGCCACATGTGGCTAGTGGTTACTTAATTGGGCAGAGCAGATATAATGCATTTCTATAATCAAAGAAAGTTCTGTTGGATAAACCTTGTTCCATTTGGGCTTCCCAATCAATTGTGAACTGCCACACTGGGTTGAATAAAATGCTAAGATATTCTGGACAATAATAGCAGGCCACTGGGTGAAAGCTACACACTTAGAACTCTAGCCAGACCACAAGATACTCTGTCAGAGAAATGATCTACAATATCAGTCAGCTACTGACTGGATTAAAATTCTGGCCTCAAGTCTCAAATTTCCTTTGCAGTTTTCTATGGGCATTCCAACACACTAAATGAAGCAGACCAATTTTGGATTAGCATTGGATTTTCCTCCCTGCTGTTAAGAAGAGAAGGTTGGGAAATCTACTTCCGTAGTGATACTGCCTTGGAAACCGAAGGAGGGGTCACTATATGAGTCGGGTCCAACTCAACAGCACATAACAACATTAATAATGCTGATAATATCAGCTCCTATTTGGGGCCACCATTTTATGTTTTGAAGGCTACTTGAGGTGGAGAGGTTATTTTAGGGCAGTTAGTGACTGGGCAAGTTGATGACTGGGCCTGGTTGAGACAAGACAAAGGAAAAGATAAACATCTTGGTCTGTTCTTAAGTCTTCCCCAGGTTCAGTTAAGAGTATGGTAAGAAAGGCATTGGACATTGTCTACATTCTTGAGGGAATTAATGTCTTGCTTATTTGTAGATCTTTTTAAAAAACATTTTTTTTTTTCATTTTAGGCAGTATTTCAAAACAAGTGAACACCCCTAAAGACTAGGGAAAAAATCTCAGCCAGCTTAAATGTATATTGGGTGTCTATTTGAGAAGGAAGAGAATGTGGGACAAAGTAAAATGATATCCTTTATCCTGACTTTATGCAAACCTTTTAAAGCTAGGGACAAAGTAAATCTGTATAATTGATCCTTTTCCATGCACTAATGGTTCGAGACCTTGGGTAACAAATTTTTGTTATGATGGAGAATATTAATTGCTGAGGGAACCTACCCAGACTAACTTTGGAACTACAAATAGGGAATGAATGGAGAGCTATATACAAATATTTATAAACAAATAGCTTTAAATATAGTCAAGTGAGGTTCAATGTTATTACTTACTTTACTCTTTACCTTACTAAAAATAGACCTTGCACATGTTCTTTGTCTACAGCAGGGTGTTTCAACCTTAGCACTATTAATACTTTGGGCCAGATAGTTCCATGTTGTAGGGATTGCCCTGTGCATTGTAGGGTGTTTAGAAGCAACCCTGGTGTCTACCCACAGATGCCAGTATCATGCAGAAGTCGTGACAATTAACGTTTCCAGACATTGTTGAATGTCCTCTGGGGGGTGAAATTACCTGTGGATGAGAACCATAGGTCAATGTTGTAGAAAACTGCTATTTGGCTTTTAAAACCCCATGTCCTAAATTCCTATTACGTAGAATCCTTGTGTTAGGCACTTTCAGATCTGTTCACATTGTTGGGCTCACTGTAAATTTCAATACATTTATTCTCCTCACTCAGAATAGGATAGTTGCTTAAATTAAAAACTGATTCCAGTCAGTTGGTTTCCTTTTCCTCAGCACATCACTAGGTGGTGGTTTTAACAATGAAATATCCACCAGCCCTGGAAACAAAAGGCACAGGAGCAAAAAGGCTGCACATTACACAAACTGAATAATCATCCCTTGGATTATCAGGGCTTTACAGTTCCAATTTCCTGACCCAGAAAACTACAATCTAATTATGTTAAAGTGCAATAGAATTCTTTCTTGTTTTCATCTTTCTCTCTTTCAAAAAAGAATGATCTACTCTGTCAAAACAATATAATGATAGGCAAGAGATCCTAAAAGGTAACTGAGTAAACTTTAATCATAGTATATAATTTTAACTCTCTCCTAAAGTTTTATGTGTGTGTGTGTGTGTGTGGGGGGGTGTATAGTGGGATAGGGAGAGGGTCTGTATAAAAACCCAGCTACAAAGATGTGTTATCTTAGGGACCAGAGTTTCCTAGGTCTATAAAGATCCAGAAAGTTCCTGGCCAAAGTACCAGGTGAAACAAAAATAGGGAAACAAATATGCCAAGAATTAGTGTTTCCACACCAAATCAGGCTATATTTTAAATGAATTAGGGTAAATGATTTTAACTATACAAAATGTCATAGTTT